ACGTTTCACAATGGGATTTTCTGCTTTAAACTATCACTATTTTAACCTATCAGCTGTCACTTTTAAAGCCTAACAGTTAATGTATTTGCAGGTCACGACAAACATCAGCAATAGGCTGCAAGGAGACCATCTTGCAGCCTGCATACGGATCTCAGTAAATGGGCCAGACGTTTCTGACTTCCCATATCAAGAGGCTCATAGAAATGTTCTTCAAGAAGCCCAGAAAAATACACTGCAGTGACAAAAGCTGCACACTTTGTGGATAATTGTCATAAAAAGACATGTTTTGATGTATAGTTCAGTTGTTATATTGACTGCTGTTATTAAAAGAAACACATGAACACTATGAATCCTGTCGGTGTCTGTCTGCCCCCCCCCCACAAAGCTGTAAACCCAGGGGAAACACTGAGCTGGACTGAGATTAAACTTGGGTGGTGTCTAATTGTTCATGCCGCCCAGGTGTTATACTGTAGTAAACAGTATTTTGATGGTATTTTCAAAAGTAACAATTCTGGCATTTTGAAATCTAAAATTAGCTGTGGTAGCTGGGGTTCCCCCACAATAAAATATAGCCAAACCATGGTATACCCAGAATACCACAGTTTACCACATTAACATAATACCACCCAAGCCTGGTTGAGATCAGTATTGCTAAAACATTTTTACTGTCATAGAAAACAAAACTTAGCAAGCATTGCAATTTTAAAGATTGTTTCAAGATTAAGTATTATATGTTTTAAAAAAAAATCAGTGTAAAGTTCACTCTCTGCATGAGCACTGCATGTGCTCGCCAAGCCAATCAATCATTATTGCCCTTGCTGTCTGACTCGCTCATAGACAGTGTGGTGTAGTAATGCAAAATTTAACAAAATGAGTAAGGAGGAGAAAAGTAAAAGCAAGAAATGTCACCGAAACACTTAAGTAGTTAAGTGGTCACAGACAATGGATGAATCGGAGTATTTTACAAATGTAAGAATACAACATGTATGAAATAATAATGATCTAGCTCAAAAATCTGAACCAATGTGGAACCTTCAAAAGGCTAATTCTAAAAGCACTGTTTTCTCACTTTTGGGTCATGAAACGATTTTCACAGTCTCCACCCCCTTTGGGTCGTGACTTACTGACCAAGGAATAATATAGACCCTGACTGCTCATTAAAAAGGTAGCTAATATAGTACACAGAAGAAAGCATAAGCAAGCCCTCTTCTGAAGGGAGGCGCGTCCTCCTGAAAGCCCACAGCGCGTCTGTGACCCATCACATGAAGCAGGGCAGCATCTTCCCAGAGAAAAGAAGGGAAAAGGCAAATGGAACCTCCACAGAGCTCCAGAGGTCGTGCTGTCCAGTCATTTGCCAGCCTTATGATGTAGCACAGCTAACAGTGGCTTCAATTACCCTAAATTTAAACTAGATAAATGCCAGACATAGCTGTGTGTCCTCCAGCCAGCTAACTAACGCTCTCTTACTCTCATGCCAGGTGAAGCACAAGAGCTGCCTTCTTCCTAAACAGCGCAGTGACCAGAGGAGAGGCAGTTAACTCAAAGACCAGTGAGTGTACAAAAATCATAACTGAGAAAAACAAATTCATGGACAGGAGGTAAAGCACTGGATAAGAACCCAGCCTTTCAAAGGCATTCATGGTCAAGTCCCAAGACGCACCAGCAGAACTGCTTCGCAAAACACCCACCTATTCAACGCTAAACAACTTGACTGAAAGGAGAGTGTCTGCAATAATGAATATTAAAGTAAATCAGCCTGGACACAGAATCAGCCCAAATATTCAATCACTGATGCGGGGAGCCTGACAACTTTCAGTTCTCTGCTATACAGCCACATGGTCCGTCTGGGTTAATAATTAATACAATACAAGAGCACCAACTTCACTACCAGGCAAGTGAGAGGTCCGCTCAGGGCACGGGAGTGAAAATCGGCAGCACCAGAACCGCTGAGGGCATCAAGCATTTCCCTTTACAAAATATTTAATGGAAGCAATGAAGGCCCATTTAAACTGTGCATTTTAACTGCTTTGCAACTGGCTCAGCTATACAGATATAAAGTGCATGAAGACAAAGATCAAAACCCAAGCTGAGGGAGGGAGAGGAGAGACACAGAGGAGGAGGAGGAGGAGGAGGAGAGGGCCGCACTCACCTGCTGTTGTGGCACAAAGCATTCTGCAACCTCTTCTGTTAACAGCTTCCTCAACAACAAATCGCGAGGAACTCCAGAACTCCTTTTCTGGCAAAAGTGTAAAAGTTGCCGTCTCCCTTATGGTACTCTCACGAGGAGCTCAAAATAGTTCACCATGAGAGCGATGTAATTTCAGTCTTTCCCATGACTGGCAAGCAGAGAAACGGACAGTCAGGTGTCCAGATACACACACTTCACTGAAAGTCAAGGACTTGCTCCAAAGTTCGTTTTCCTCACTTTGATTAAATATGACCGATTAATATGCATAAAACCAATTTCTTTAGCCAAAACTAACCTATGAGTAACTAAAAAAAAATAAAATAAAAAAATCTTACATTGAAGAATTTGTTTAAGCTTGATCAGACTACCTTGCGTAAAAATGAGTCTTTCACATTCCAGACAGTGAAAAAGGTACCTCGTGTCTCTAAACTACAGCTATGGGCCATACATGATCAGACAGGTTGCAGAAGGCAGACAGGCAAATGTGAGTGAAAAGAGCTGGAGCAAAGTAGAAGGTGTGAATGGGAGAGAGAGGGCGAGAGAGAGAGAGAGAGAGAGGGAGAGAGAGTGCACACTCCAGCATTTCTCCTGCTCCAGCACCACAGGGCAAGAGCCGCCAACTCCCAACTGCCTAAATTCCAGCAGGATCTGAGTGGTACATGACATGCCCGAGCAAATCAAACTGGGAGAATGTTCTTTAGCAGCTGAGACTCTGACCCAGGCACTGCAGCCAACCTCGGCTGGACCGAGCAGGACCACTTCCCTGAACATTCCTCCCTGACAATGCACCCCAGGTCTGAAAGTCAAACCTACAACTTCCGGAGAGCAACATGCAGACCCGATCTACCAAAAAATCTCAATGGCCACATTAATTCAAACAGACACATTTTTTTTTTTACAGTGACATTATACCATTTTGATCCATTTCTGAAAGCATAGTAAAGAAAACTGAATGTATAGAGTCAATACTTTAAGATGATCCTTTACCTGACAGTTTTATCTGGTTGCAATTAACAGTAGAGGGAGGGGTTACCTTTTTAAAAAACATTTTTGCTACCTAGGATATGACCTTACAGCCTTTATATTGTTAGTGCAACATTCTACTAGTTGAGCTACTTCTACCTTACTCCTGCGCATACTAAAAAATCTGCTGGTTTTCCCCATCTCTTCAAACAGCAGGTTGCATTCGGAGGCAAACATTACCTTGAGGTGACTTACTATCATGAGAAGCATGCGACTCACAGCTGAATAAATGGAGTACTAGATGAATGAAATTGTCTTTTATCTGCAAGTTTTACAAGTACAGCTACGCTGGAATGAAAATTGACACTAACTTAATAGAATGCTGCTAAACTAAAGGATAATGTGAGAGCACTTTGAAGTTATCCCTTCATATTAAGCAACCAGACATTCTATTCAGTGTATCATAATAATACTGTCATAATAAAACAGAAAAAACATACAACCGAAAACAGACAATACAGTTGCTTGTTTGGATAAACTGCTTATCAGGCTCTTGCAGTGCGATACTTTGGTAAGTGGTTAATTATCCCTGTTGAAACACACACATGTAAGTGACAGAGATGGTTTAATTATGAACAACTAATACATCTGCATAATTTGTAGGTAGCCAAAGGTAGAAAAACTAAAATATTTAAATAAAAAATTACAGTAAGCCAAGCAATAATAAAACATAATTCTTATTTTTTTGCCATTTCTCCCAGATCAACAATAAATATAAATCTGAGGAAATCTATCAATCTCCACCCCCATCTTCAGTAAAGCATTTAGGCCCACCTTTTACAAGTATCCCCATATCAGGGATGGATTATCCACCCAGGGCATGGGGGGAGATGTGTTGCTAAGGCAACTGCTGGTAAATTTAGAGGTTATTAGCTAGAGGAGAATGGTAATTTTTGTCCACTCAGCAGAATCAACACATCATCATCACACGTAGATTACAATAGGTTCAACTTCACTGTCATTGAACAAAGTACCAGTGAAAAGCAGACATAAGCTGAGTATTCATCACCACCATGCTTCATATGGCTTTTCCTAATGAGGGCTGCAGCGCAACACGGTGAGCAGATCAGGCTCGACTTCTTTCTCCATGACTACAGATTACTGCTCATTCCAGGGAATCCCAAGTTCCCTCAGGGCCTCCACCAATGGCTGACCTGCTAGCGTCCTTATAAACTGCCCTGACCTCCTCCAATGATTCCTCTCGATCTACAGGATCTTCACTGTGTCTTTTTGGGCATTTGTACTTGCGAACCTGTCACTTTACATAGTAACTAACATCCTGCAACCGAGACCCTAAACATAATGAAGTACTGCTACTCATCTCAATCACCTTGAAAAAGTTACCTTAAAACACAGGAAGGCGTGCGTTTGGAAGATATTCATCCCCTCGCATCATATGGGGTCGTTTATAAACAAGAACTAATTCAACAGGCGGAAAAGGGCTTTCAATTAACATGCGTTCATTACGACGTAAACATTCATTTAAGAGATGTTTACTTTTTTATAGTCAACCCTCTGGCTACAAATCCCAACATTATCCAGGCATAAAAACAAGATTTTACTGAGCTCGCAAGTATATAAATCCAGCAAATTAACAACATAATTTCATTTTACAACCTAGATTGATCCAAGCTGCTCAAAAGAGATTAAATCTCATCGTGCTACCGATGAGTGACAAGGCCGAGCAGAGTTTTTTAACTTCCCAGCCCTCGGAGGCACCAGGATCGGGACGGCGAACACTGGAGTACCGGAGCAGGGACACCGCCTACCGCGGAAACGGGACACTGACCTGCGGGGCCCAGCGTCTGCTGCTGGCCGTCGTCCCCGAAGAGCAGCCTGAAGTCCAGGTCCTCGCCAGCGCGGCAGTCGGCGGCGGTCATCGGCCCGGATACCCGGGCTCAGCCCGTCACTCAGCGGCAGTGGCGGCTCCGGGAAACACGCCTCTACATTCAGCTTTAAAGCTCCACTTTCTGCTTAAATCGTGGCTATATGTCAAAGAGCCAGTCCGCAACCGAGTTCTGCTTGTCTAATAACACTCAGACCTCTGCTTCCCAGACAGACGTGTCACATTAGCCGGCCCAAAGCCGCCATCCTCCAACTGTCCATCCGTTTAGTAACTACGGCTCCGTCTGGAGCTCCAGTACCAACTTTTACTGACCGCTCCGGAAGTGACGACACGGTGGACAGGCTTCCTGGGAGCTGAAGTTCTTTTGGTGTGCAATACTTCGTAAATGCCGCCCCCTAAATATGTCATATCTCTAAAGTATTTACCCCGCGTATTTACTGGGGGGGGGGGGGTAACCCCTGGCAGAACCTTAAATCCGCCCCTTCCCTGCATAGGACAACTAGGTACAGAGGATGGATGAACACATTTACATTTACTTTCCTTTATCTATCAAACATTTCTGCCCAAAGTGATGTACAGGTGAGGCAAATGGCACATTACACCTTAATGTAAGAGATAATTATTGCTAGATTTTCATTTCTTTAGAATACAATGTTTTTTTCCCATAGCCAACAACTATGTGGTTGAGTGCTGACAGAAAATAATCTTTTCCTGAAACTTTTTACATCTTAAATGATAATTGCATCCTATGGCCCTGATCTGGAAGATAGATGAATGGTAAAACCAGAAACATGACATCCTAACACCTTCAGAGATAGAATTTGATTTGTGCCCCAGGCCCCTCTATGTGAATTTTTCATATTTGTCCAATGTTCCAGTGGGTTTCCTCTGGATACTCCAATATATTGCTGTCTAAAGACATATAATTAGGCAAACTGATGTCTTTAAATTGCCAGATTCTGTGCCATGTGATGGACTGGCCTCCAGTCCAGCTAGGGCGCTGCCTTATACCCTATGCTAGGGGTTCCCGAGCTTCTGATGTTCATGGACGCGAACAGAACACGTCAACATGAGGAGTTGTAAGAAATGGAAGATAAACAGATTATGTTTGGAAATTAACCAACCCCTCTACAAAACATCCAGTGTTCTGCAGCCCCCTGGAATACTGGCCACAGACCAGTGTCTGAGATCCTCTACCCAATGCTTTCTTGGAAAGGCTTAGCGGTGTCTTTTTTTGAATACCGTCATACAGTCCAGATGCTATACCTTGGTTTTTGGTATTTTGACAGTACTTTCAAAAGCAATGCTACTCTGTTATTTTGAAAGCTTTGCAATTACATTTGCCAAGTGCGGAGGTCTCCATTACAAATTTTGCAATCTGTGTTTTTTTCTGTAGGGGCACCCTGCCCCGCAGCTAATCTTGTCACCAAGATTATCACACTCCTCGGCACTCTGTACTGGAAAAGTAAAAATGGAAAATGGATGGATACTGTGACAGGCAGACTGTCAGGATCAAATAAGGATGAATCACACAAGATGAAATGTAACTAATATCATAACAGTTGTTAAACTAATAAAGCACCATTCCGCCAATGAATAAAATGTTAAAATTAAGCAGTTGTATCAGAAAAGCACTAAGCTGCAACACAAAAAAGCTAATACAGTGTACCCTGCACACATGGATAGAATGAGAATATTTTTTACTATGTTTTAAAAAAACTTGTCACTTGAAGAGGACATTAATAGACATAACCTTTTTTTTCTTGTTATTTTGTGGACAGCTCCCACTACTGGCAGAAATTTTAACTGCTAATCAAAGCTTTGATTTAGAAATTTTAGTCACATTAAGCAGAACTTATGGACAGTGTGTTCTGGTAATTTAAAACCAGAAAAACTAAGCTGCAAACTTAATATTTTTAACATTTAATAGAAATATGAAAGTATAAGAAAATACAATTATAAAATAAAACCAAATCTTTAATGTCACTGTAGGCTTATGAAATTACAGACAATTAAACCCAACTGAATGGGCAGACAAATATATCACACACACACACACACACACATTACATATACATATTATACAAATACATTATGTATTTAACCACAGAATACATCCATGTATTTTTTGAGTTCACTACTAGCACACCTCATATCAATCAATATATCACTAATGTTTTTAACTAATTAAGTTAATCGATTAAGTGAGCTGGTGGTAAAACTTAATAAATACGTGGAATGATGCGCTTGAGCAGAAGTTTGGTAACTGAAGCGGTTCAACAAGATATCAAGTTTTTGGAGAACGGAAGAATGTTTTACTTGATTTTATTGTATTACTCTTAATATGCATGTTCTAATGCGGGCAGTGGTGGCTTGATGGTTAGGGAAGCGCGCTTGTACTTAAAAGACTGCAGGTTTGAAAACCCCGACCACTTGCGCACTGTGTGTTGACAATGACCACTAACCACAAAATTCTAATGCTGAATTGTGTTTTTTGCTCTGAGCAAATGTACATTTACTACCCTGATAAATAGCTTCAAACATTTCTTTTGACTGCCTAAGACTTTCGCGCAGTACTGTATAAGAGGCATAAAAATGAGGTATGCTGGTATTGGAATTGAAAGCCACAGGTGCACAACTTTGGAGGGGAGAAACAAACACCGAATTTTCATTGGGGCGAGGGGGTAAAATAAATAGTTATTTGTATTGGGGAGAGGGGAGGACATAAAGGAGCACTCTCAGTTTCAGTGGTTGAGATGCAGTTGGTCAGGGGGGAGTACATTACAAAACAGTTATGGTGGGTATACATTTGGTTGTATACAGGCAAACAAGACTCTGTAGCACCGTTGAGGACCTGAGCAAGGTATCTCAGTTATATGTCGTCTTACATTAAAGTGTCTGCTAAATAATTAAATGTGTTATACTGTATGTAGAATTACAATTAGACTTTTGAAAAATGGCAATACAGTATTATCTGGCTTGCTAAGGTACACCAGCTTACACGGGGCTGGGAACTCATTTCCTACAACGTTATTGCGCCACCAGGGGGTGTTCTACAGACACCTGTGTGTTACAGCGCAAATAATAACGTTAAATCGATTAAAAAAAATATCAGTATTACCCAGCCTAAGTCACACCAGCTTACTGATGTTCTATTTGCGACACGTGTTTCATTATTATGCTATGTATCCTAGCTGGAATTATGGAGTAAGTCTATTTCCAATTGCATGAGTCATTAGGTTAGTCGTTTCTTCGTCACACAGCTCTGGAGAGACGTATCAACTTAAGAGTTTCTATTTGATGGGATCTGCTTCCAGTTGTAAAAGCCCCATTTGCCCCTGTATATGGCTGAGGGTGACTTTCACCATTAAGCGAGCGATCTCCTCTCCTTGACCAGAAACATGGCTTTGACGTGCCGAGTCCATTATCTGGACGATGCAGACCCTTTCGTGTACGGAAACTTCCCTGAGCCGAGAAGACCAATACCTTATGATCTTCAAGAAAACATCGCATTGAGTGAGCAAATCGCTGGGATTCATAAAGTGTTGATGGCTCCACTGAAGGTTCGTATTTATATGTTTATGTATATATGTGTACACGTACATAAACATAAATCTTTGAATTACAATAATAGGAGGTGCAGTCATTTAATATTTTTGCTGTACTTTTTCATCAGCGGCACAAAGCCAAGTTTCTAAATGGGTGGTCTCTCATTCGGTAGATTCTGGGTCGGGATCCGGATTACATTGTGTTTCGGTCCGAATACGAGTAGCCTACCCTTTCGGTACATGCCAGTAGGCTATATGTTTGACGGTAATTCAGGTTTTGCTATTTAAACGATTAACATTTACACATTTAACGTGCAAATTCTACGCTTTTAAATGTCTGGACTTAATGCCATTTTAAACTTCATTATGAAGAAGAAATGCTTGCATTAGCAGAGGTGGAAAATTTAGGTCCAGAAAGTACAAATCCAGACCAAGGGTTTATTTCAAGCAACCTGTTGAATATAGAGAGTCACAGTCACGGAGTACTCAACTGGTTGGTTGAAAGAAATCCTTGGTCTGGATTTGTACTCTCTGGACCCGAACTTTCCACCTCTGTGCATTAGTAGGTTGGTAACAGTAGGTTAGTACAAATAATGTAGCAATACCTTCTTATTTACTGTATTAATTACCCAGTAACTAAGTGATAGTTACATACGGATGCCATGTTCATTTATCATTAATCAATCATAAAGGCTATTTCATGCAGTTACTATATTTGTTCATGATTTATACGTGAGTAGTAACTAAGCTACTAATTTACTTGTGCCTCCTCAAGTAAAGTGTTACTAGTAGGCCTGCTTGCTCTATAAGAATACATTTTGTTCTGGTCGCTTATATTCAGACTTTATTATTGTCTTAGTCTTGAGAACAGCAGACCACTATATTCTATGTTTTGATGTATACCATGTTCCAGAATATTTATAGCGTTTTCATAGTCTGCATCGTTGTTTGGGTGAAAGCTGACTCCTTTTATATGATCCTGTCCAGTTGGAAGACTGTACCCTTCAGCTGGCTTCCAATGGAAACTACGTGGATTTGGAGTTAACCCTGGCTGAACAGCGGGATGACCTGGAAGCATTTTATGATGATATCGAGTAAGAACAGGAAATCACTGATCCCTGTGCTTAACTGATGTAACCAAGGGAGAGAACAAGATGTGTGGGATCCGATTATTGATCAATTCATGCTATTTACTGTGCAATGTAATAGTCACAGCCAAGTCATGTGCAGTAATTTTTAGTTTATTTGTTTTTCCTGTACCTGAATTTCAGTGTTGAATGTGTGCTCCTGTAGAGTTGAGTGTCTGCAGAACCTCTCATTAATATCAATACTAGTGTACAAAGGAGGTCAGACCAAAACAGGAATAAAAGTGTTTAAAATATTACATCTGTATATCTACTTTAATGTTGATAGTGATGTTTGTTTTCCTCATTTTTTCAACAGCAAGGGAAAGAAGCCCATCCTGATTCTGAGAACACATCTGTCTGTGCGAGTCCACTTCATTCTAGGTAATTTCGTGTTACAATATGATGTGAAATAGCTGTACTTTTCATATCCTTTATGATTGTAAACAGACCACCTTTGGTCATTTGTGTGATCACTACATACCATCTATCCATCCATCCATCCATCCTTCACCATAACCGCTTAATCCCAACTGGGGTCATAGGGGGGGACCGGAGCCAATCCCAGGACCAAGGGACGCAGATTATCACATACCTATGATGCTAAACAATGGCTTGCCACTCATACTTACCTATAATCACACAACTTTTTCAATAGTACTCTTCATTGTGAGAGTTTTAAACTCTCACAATGATACAATATATTATTCATATTGTGAGGAAAGGTGGTTTTAAAAATCTTCCAAATGTTGGCTTTTCCCTATAAGTATAGTTGTATCACGTTACGAGGGACGAAGGATTTGAGGGCAGGTGTTGTGGAAAAATAAAAGGAATTTTATTGAACTCAAATAGCAAAACTGGAAATTAAGAAGATCGCGAGAGGTCAAAGGGGGGAGGTTAGTGTGGGGAAGGACACGGGCAGACAAGAGACCGGAGCAGGAGAGGCGTCCAGGTGGACTAGCAAGGAGAAGACAAACAGGAAGACAAACACAGTCTGATGCTGGGCAACAAGTACCAGGTGTGGCCCATCAGAGCCACGTGAGGGAGGAGACAGGATGGTCAGGCAGACGTGGCAGGTAGGATGTGGCAGGTTGCAGTACTTAACCACGAAGGACACCAGATTAGTTAAAAAGGCGAAGACTCTGGGAAGGAAACAAAGAACCCAGATGAAATGCACATGAGAACAGGCGAAACAAACTTTATGCACATTTAGTCAGTGTTGACTTGCAGCCTTTTGTCTGATACTTGCTTTTTTGGCATGTTGCATGTCATTCATCCTTGATCCATAAATTGTAATATGTAATATTGGCATCTTTTTCCTTATAGTCTTAATTGAGGTTGAACCTTCATGTTATGATAATTGTGCAAATGAAAAGTGAATAAATCAATAAGGTCTTACCATGACCCCACCTGCTTTTCTGCAGTGGGTGTGTTAGTCATTCTTGATAATTATATCAGTGTATAAATCTGAAACACTTAAGTTGTTTCCCCAACATTTCTCCTGTGGTCTTTGTTGCTGCATGTCTCATTGTCGGTATCCTGCTTTTCCCAACCTACAAAATTATGTTATAACTTGCTGCTGTTACTTATTTGACTGGGTAGCATCACTGAAATAAGGCCAAGAGGTGGAGCTTGTTTTCCCTTACAGATATGTCACGGAATGCTGGAATGGTCTGAAGAAACCTGTGTTAACAAGGTCCACTTTGTTATTTAGATAATGGTTATAGATATTATCTATTAACAGATGGCAAGCAGATTCTAATTTACAGGAAAAAAATGAATTTTTAAAAGTTAATTACTCTTTTAATTAGATTGAGACATATTCAGCTATATATACAGTACTAGACAAAAGTCTGGACACACCAAACCACCTACAAAGGGGAGCGATAGAGTGTTGTATCACATGACTTGGCCACCTGACCTAAACACAGTAGAGATGGTTTTGGTGGAGCCTGTCCAGAGGGTGAAGGAAAAGCTGCCAATGAGAGCTCAGCATATATGAGGAACCTCCTTCAGGACAGCTGGAAAAGCTTCCCAGGAGGCCACCTCATGAAACTGGCATAGAGGAGAATGTAGAGTCAGCCAGTCCCTGGAGCAAATGGGGTTAAGGGCCTTACTCATGGGCCCAGTGGTGGCATCACTCTACCGATAACGGGATTTTAACCCGAAAACTTTTGAGTCCCAACCCACAGAGCTGCCCCCCCCTAACAATTTATTTCATTTTTGTTTAATGCTTTTTTGGTCAGTGCATAATTGCGTATGTTATTTCATAGTTTTGACGTCTTTATAATTATTCTGAAATGCAGAGCATAGTACAAATACACCTTTCTATGGGTAGATGTATCCAAACTTTTGACTGGTACTGTGTGTGTGTGTGTGTGTGTGTGTGTGTGTGTGTGTGTGTGTGTGTGTGTATGTGTGTGTGTGTGTGTATGTGTGAGTCATGAAATTATCATGAGGATTATCATGCGCCAAGGCAGCCTATTATAATAAGTACAGAGCACTTTATAATAAAAATTTGATACTTGAGATGCCTTTTCTAACATGATACAATACAGACAGCAAAATATGTCAACAAGAAGCAGCAAGTCCTGTGGCAGACCTTTTTTTTCATCTTGTCTTTCTTCACTAACCTGGCATCAATCCCTTTCTTATAAACCGAAGGTTCTTAGCAGTATTCTGCAAACTGGTCTAATTAAAAGATGAGCACCTGTAAACCTACTCCATCATGCAAATATCTCTGCCTCTCTAAATAGCTCTTATGCATTAAATCATGCAGGCCAGGGTCAAGGGCACCAGTTAATGGACAGTTCAGGAATCCAAATGGGGAAGGAATGTGACCTAAGGGACGGTGACTATGGCATGGTTGTCGGGACCAAACAGGGTGACATTCGAAGACCATCAGTAAGCAGTTCTGTGGGCAGAAAACACCTTGTCGATGAGAGAAGAGAATGGCCAGACTGGTTCAAGTTTTACAATGTTTTAGCTCCCATGACAATTTACAGTCCTTTTTAGGAAACCTTAAAGAGAAACACTTAATAAGAAAAAAAATCTATATTCTAATTTCAGTCTTCTAATTTACTTGTGTCCCTAGATAATAAGCCTAACCGATGAGAAAAATATGTGTCATATTTATTGCTTACCGGCAGAGGTGGATAGTTCAGGTCCAGACAGGTAAAATAAATCCAGTCCAAAAATTTGTTGAGTACTGTCACAGAGTGTTCCAACTACTGGATGAAACAAAATCTTGGTCTGGACTTTTTGAACCTAAACTATCCATCTCTGCTTACTGATTGTCCTCTTTTGCAGTATGAGAATTTTATTTGCAGAAATTGTCAGTTGTGAAACCACTGAAGTCCATATTTCTGCTTATATTTGCTTGGAATTTTTACCCTCCAAATTCACAAATGGATAATATTATATTTCCCTGTGTCAGAAAAACTGAACAACACTCCTGGACCTGAGTTTAAGAAATCCTTATTTTCTCTGAAGCGGATCTTTGAGGTAAACTCCTAATAATAGCTTAACTTACATGCAAGCACGACTGTACACAGGAAGTCACCTAACCCAAGTGTTCTCAACTTAACATTTCATCATTTTAATGAACTACATATAATAGGGATTGTAATACAAATTTCTTAATTTTACACACACAACTAAATATAGACATGGAAATGCCTTTATAAGTCTTTATATATTGAATTAGGTTTCCCAGACTATAGAGTCTACAATTAAGGGTCCAATAAATTTGTAATTTCAGTGTGTAAATCACCAGCTACTGCTAGAGATTTGTGGGTTTTTTTTTCAGGATGACAAAGACCTGGTACCAGAGTTTGTAAATTGCAATGGACTCACATGCTTCATCAGTATTGGAGCAGAAGCAGATCAGAAATATCAGAACTACATTCTAAAAGGTAGGAGCGTCTGTGGTTCCAAGCTCCTTTTGATGTCAGAGTGTTTTATATTTTTATCTTTGGGTTGCAAAATATTATCAAAGAATAAAAATAGCTGATTTTAAAACTGTCTTATTATTGCCAGCTCTAAGCCAGATTATGCTGTTTGTTGATGGAATGAATGGCATCATTGCTCACAATGAAACTCTGCAGTGGTTATATACCCTGAGTGGCAGCGTGGTAAGTTTACTATTGCTACATTTTAAAAGTTAAAGAAAAAGTGTATTATTTTTATGCTTTATTTAAGATAATCCAAATGAATTATCCCATCTTAAACATTTTACGTATATTGAGCTCTATAACTGCAGGGAAAGTCGTTCCAGTGTAGAACAGAATACCACCATCTTGCAGAGACAAGTTGTATTGATTGTTCTTTTTTCATATGATTTTGCCCTGACATTTGCCATCTGCTATTTTCAAGTCAAGACTGCTGGCAAAAACAGCTCTCAAGATGCTCATAGTGTTCGTGGAGTACACCGAGTCAAATGCCCAGCTGTTCATTCAAGCTGTCAACACCATTGATCACAAAAGGGGTAGGTGACTGATTTCTGTTGTGCACACAAATGCAAGGATAGCATAGGTTGTGTGTGGGCATCAGTTTATATGCATTTCTGTGCACATTCTAAGGGGTGAAGCCCTGGTCTTATCTGGCTGAAATCCTGGAAGATAGGAATGGAACCAACAGTGAGCTCCTGGTCTATGTTATGTCCCTCATCAATAAGGTAACCTGTCTAATGTGAGCCTGGGATGATGGGCTACAAACTGGCTTCAAGCACACTGGAGTTTGTAAAGTGAATGTTAAATAGTATTAGAACATTGGATTCTGAAGGAATCTGCTCATGTTGCTCCACCTGAATTCCTGCATCAAAATAATAAGTCAAATCATCTAGTTTGTCTGCTGCTAAGTACTTAATTGATAGCAGCTACAGCTCAGGACAGTGATTCTTCTCCAATTCTTGTGACAGAGCATTTTGTAATACTTGGATTGGTTTTACAGCATATCTGTTATAAGTTCATTATAGGTTTTCAGGATAGTTCGTATCTGTAGATAGGGTGATCAGATAATTCATGTCAGGAAGGATACTTTGATGTAGAACACAATTTGTAAGCTACCATTTCAAATAAAAGGACTTGGATTTCACTCTGGATCTGAGTTCTTGCTGTGCGCTGATTGCTCAGTTTCCTACAATCATGCATGTGCCACTAATGTTAATGTGAAACAGCAGGATGAGTCTTTCAATCAAGGAGACAAACCATTCAAAGCACAAGAAGTACTGAACTATTTAGCCAAAGTCTTTCAGTTTTAAACTTTGTAAAACCTGAAGTAGCTCAAAGTGCCCCTCTGACATGGATTATCTAATCAGCCTATTTTTGACTTTATAAAGTCTAAATTAATTTTATGAAGGCAGATGGGAAACAAAATGTATAAACTGAGCATGATGATATATATGTTCTTGTGCTGAATATGTGTACTAATAGGTTCATTAAGTCAATGGTTTTCACTCTGTTATGCCAGCCCTGTTACTGGTAGACCTTCTGTCTATTTTTAAGACCTTGGCAGCTCTTCCAGACCAGGACTCCTTTTATGATGTCACAGACTGCCTGGAGGAGCAAGGGATGGAGAGCATTGTGCAGGTGCACATGGGCAGCAAGGAGACAGACAATGAGCTCAAGCAACAATTAACTATATATGAGGTGAAAATCAAGGCACAATAGATGAGTTTAAGAAGCAGCTCACTACATGAGTTGAAAATGTCGAAATGTTTATTTTCTGACCCACAGAATGCTTTGAAGTATGAAGATGGTGAGATGGAAGAGCCTGTGCCACACATTAGGAAAGAGCGCAGGAAGGCCACACCGTCTGTGGAGGAGGAAACAAAGAGCGAGATGTTTCCTGGGCAGCCCTCTACAGAGCTGGCACTGTCCCCGAGCAACCCTCCGTGCCCCCCCTCACCTCCGTGCCCCCCCTCACCTCCGTGCCCACCTTCTGAGCAATTAACCCCAGATTCAGCAAACCTCACCGCCTCCTCAGATTATGAATCTCAAATAAGTTCACCCATAATGTCCCCCGATGACGCCACCCCCATACCGTAAGTACACCGGAGAACTGTATATGTGTGTGTGTGTGTGTGTGTGTGTGTGTGTGTGTTTACTGTAAACTCTTCCAATCATTGTGCTCTGTTCCAATTCACAAATATGCCCCAAATAACATTGTATAACTTCAGTTCAGGATAACTTCAGTCTTGAATTTTTTTTCTTCAAGGGAAGGTTCAGATAGTTCTGCAGGTTCCTTCTGCACACACTCACACATTCAGGTTTGACTGTAATGTTTGCACCCTGCAATGGACTGGCATTCCAGTTAAGGTGTCTTGTCCTGGCATTCCAGTTAAGGTGTCTTGTCCTGGCATTCCAGTTAAGGTGTCTTGTCCTGACATTCCAGTTAAGGTGTCTTGTCCTGACATTCCAGTTAAGGTGTCTTGTCCTGGCATTCCAGTTAAGGTGTCTTGTCCTGGCATTCCAGTTAAGGTGTCTTGTCCTGTGCTTCCTTGGGTAGGCGGTGCTGGATAAGTGGCTATTGGATGATGGGTTGATATAATTGAGTGCTCTTTTGTTTCTGGAAAATGCTTGTAGATTTATTGCACACGTCTTTCTTTACTAATGTATTCTGTGCTGTCTCTTTCTTCACTAGGGGGCAAACATTTGTCAGCCAGTATTTTTCTCCAGTGGAAATTTCCAGAAGAGCAGTTACTGGAGAACAATTGGCAGATTCATGCAGGTCGGTGAGAAGTATATATGCGTTGTGTTTGTAGATTTGATGACATATTTTTTTCTCAATCAACCAACCCTTTCGTGCTAGAACCTGATAAAGCGTCTTTTTCCACATAAAAAAGGAGCAAATGCGAGTGTATGAGTCAATCTACCGCTAAGGCTCCCATAGTGAACATCTCTGCCAAATTGTGCTGTGAATATTCCCTTTTTTTTTTACTGTTGTTGCTCTTATTTTGTTTTTAAATAAGCCATCCTAAGAAGGTTTGTGATAGCAGCAAACAAAAAGGGAAGTTGTGAGAACCATGATAGAGCTTAAAAAGCAAATAATTGTATACCATTAGCTCTCCTCAGTACAGGTAAAGTGCAGTTAAATTTTCATTTATGGGTTCTACAGTTTTTACTCATAATTTTAACATTAGGTATGTATTTATTCAGGTTTAAATAGCCAATCATTTGCGGATCTGGAACGGATTAACCAAATCTACTCTATTTCTTATGGGAAAAATTGCTTTGGTTCCCAAACAGCCTTCTTGAATGGATTAAGTTTGAGAACTGAGGTTCCACTGTAGGTGAATTTTTAGTCTAGATTTAAAACATTCAATGGAGGGTGCTGCTCGAACATGTAGTGGCTGGTTGTTCCACAATTTTGGCCCTACCACAGAGAAAGCACATTTCTTCTTTTCGTCGCAAGCGACATTTTGGGACAAAAAGCAGAAGCTTGTGAGAAGACCTTAATGTTCCACTTGGACAGTATGGATGGATAAGCTCACTCAGATAATCTAGCGCCCATTCAACACTTTAAACACAAAAGGTAAAACTCTAATATTCACTGGCAGCCAGTGCAATGAAGCTTAAACTGGAGTAATTTGACTTCTTGGATTAAGTTAGTAAATGTGTTGCAGAATTTTGTACCAGCTGGAGATGAAACAATGAAGATTGACTGATCCCTCAATAAAGTACATTACAATAATCTTGGGGTGATGAAGTAAAAGCATGGATTATGGTCTTGAAATCACTGAGGGAAACCATAGACCTGTTCTGTTATTTGCTTATCAAACTTGAGACCAGAGTCAAATACAACATCAAGATTCTTTGATAGATAAATAGATAGATAGATAAATAGATAGATAGATAGATAGATAGATAGATAGACAAACAAACATTTCCGAGCTCTGTAATTTACATGTCAAATTCCATCTAAATCAAAAATGGTGATGCAAAGGCAATTTGTTTAATAAAAATGGAATGGTTCGGGAATGATTGCATTTTTTTCTGTCAGAACAACATAATTTGTGCATCGTTTATTGAATTTTATGACACCTGTGGCATCATTGTCCATATCAGACAAACGATAAAATCTAGAATGTCAGAGCTCCATTTCTGGAACAGTCTTGTGCAGTTGATCACTGTTAGCGTGTCTCCTGTTTGCAGCTCATCATCCACGGAATCTGTTCCCTTGGAGAACCACAGCCAGCTGCTCCCAGACCAGCTGCCCAGTGCCAAATCCAGAAGCATTTTAAAGTAAGTATTAAGCATTTGGGGGGTCAAAGGGAGAAGTTTGGGGGCTTGTTGGGGTTAATGATAGAATTCCGGCTTACGGGGCAATTGGCACCTTAAAACAATGTAAGATGAAACATTCAATGTCACTGAATGGGCAGTATGAACACAAGTATTATGGATGACACTGTGTGTGGAGAATGTAGTACGGTGGCACTGAAAGCCCCAAACACATCAACATTAACACAATGCAAAAGCATTAAGAAGACGCAAAAACATAATGACATAAAAACAAATTAAATTTTTAGAAGTGTCTTCGTAATGTGTTGCAGTTTTCAAAACGAAAGTGCTCCGTGCAACAGGGGGCAGTATTCAGCTCTCAGTGTCCTCCCTCTGACACTGATATCGATGGTAGTCGGTTAGTGTTAATTCACAACTCATTCAGAAAACACTTACGTGTTAAATAGTTTTTAGATTTACATTGTTTATGAACAGATTAAAAACCTTCACGTTATTTTGAGAGCAGTGTCACAGACAAAAAATGAGTCCATGAGTTGATGGACATAGTTGAGTGAAACGCTTTATATCATAGCTGCTTTATTTAACCCATGCAACAGATACAGACATATGTTGCCTTTTATGTTTATTTTGAGGCTTGTGTTTAGAATAAAGAATAATTGTTGTTTATTTGCAAAGAGGGATGGAAGCCCACACAAAACTGTTTGTTATATATCACATGTGGTTTTTGGTTTTTCTTTAAATGGAACACTTAGCACACATCACAGAAAATATGGTGTATGGCTATTCTGCCTAAAAATACAGATATGATGACAGATATGATCACCCAGCCCTTCGTAACATACAGAGCAGGAACATGCAGTTTCTCAGTCAAGAATCGAGTGCATCTTTGTTTATTTTTTGTGTTTGTGTTGTTAGCTGACTTTGACTGTTTCCATGCGACCTGGTTAAGGCGTTTACATGTGTATTTAATAATAGGATTACTGCGTTTACATGACTAGCTGTATAATCGGTGCACTAAAAACACATCGCATCTGACATTTGGCAAAATTTAATCTTGATTAACCTTTTTGTCTTTATGTTTTTGCGTCTTCTTAATGTTATTGCGTTGCGTTAATGCTGAAGTGTCCTAGACTTTCAGGCCCACCGTGATGTAGTTACTCTGTAAGATGAAACATTTAGTGCTACTGTATGGACAGGATGAGCGTGAGTATTGAGAGAATGCGACACGCTCTCATGCAGTGTAGGAAAATGTCACATAAAGAAAACGTCGTTGTCGTTGTGTTTTGCCCTTCAGGGCCACCGTACAAAACAGGCCAATATTTGATTTATATTTATGAAATCACCTACAGAATTAAAGCAATTAACCAGCATTGCTTTTGAATTTTGCTTTTCACCTTGACTTGCAATGACACACATGCATACCAGCTCCTACACTTTTCCCTTATGTATCATATATTAACCTTCATAAACTCGATTTTCAGTCATTCTGTTTTTGTTTGCCGCCTCTCATACTGTTTGGATAATCTCTTTCTGCACCACGCTGTTGTGTGTCTTTGCTGCCGGCTTCAAAACCTCCTCCTCCTGACAGAATGCACCAAAGTGATGTTGTCAGGTAAGTGTTAGGACTGCAACCAGAGACTGTTTGAAGGACTTAATTTTAGGGCTGGACAGTATGACAAAATATTTTATCAGAGTAATAATTTTTCAAGTAGTCGGTATTGAGTGACCCATTTTCTGGAATTCGTTGCACCTAGTCTACTTTGCACGACAATGTTTATTACTCTTGTGCTGGCATTTCCCATGTCCAGCCACATTTAGTTTCATTTCCTACAAAACATCTGTCTTTTGGCTTCTCCTGCTGCTGTTTTACTCTCACGTTCCTCTTTTGTGTGTGTCTGACGTCCTGCACAGCACCCATTACCTGTCCTTGCAAATGGACTTGATAGTCTGTCTATTTTATGCATTTTAATTGTTTTAATTTGTTAGCAGCGTAAAATGTACACAGACATTATTCACATTATTTTTAATAGAAAAAAACAACTTTGGTGCAGGTACAAATCCTTGTACGTTGCATAGATTGTAAGTCAGAGTCTGTAACTATGTTTTCTCACTCTCTATCACCTTCCCCATGAGTTGCTGAATGCTTTGATTTTAGCTGTCAATTCTGGGATTCTGTGTGACATCACAACCAAGAAATATTATATGTCTCTATTAAAAATCTTCACTCACACTATTCTCCCATTTAGGTTTCAAAATACTGCATGCATTAATGCGATTAAAGACACAGTAAAGCATTATGATCTTAAAATTAACGGTATGTGTTAACACATTAACTTTCCCAGCACTAAAATAAACCATACAAACATAAACTGTTTTTTTTATCATAGGGCATAACAGTAGAAAATGCAGACAGTACGGTTTGATGCTATGCTTTTTCTATGGCCGTCTCAATTGGTGCGGGCATTGGGTTTGACATTAGTGGTAGAGTTGTCACCTGTGTGTTTGTTGGGTCTAGTTTGTCCATTATTTAAGAGACTACCATATGATTGGTTGGAATTGTTTGTTTCTGTGATGTGATAGGCTGATGTGTGCTATCAAGGATTGTTCCTTATTTCCAGTTTATTGTAGTTTCTCATATTATTATCGTAAAACATTTATAGTCGATATGATATTTCTATAGCCCAGCCATATTTAATATTTAATCATTTTGAATGTGACTGGCCAGACTATTTAGCTAAAGCTCATATAATGGTCATCTACTGTAAAGAAACCCTTCATAAAAATGTGTTCTAAAGTGGTTTGACTCAAATACAACTTAGCTGAAGTCATTGTCCATTTACTGCCTTGAGATGTCTGTTTATGATGGGTTTCTTCTCCATTGTTTCTTAATGCAAATCACAGTGGCTTCATGGATTAAATACGTCCCATGCTCTGTCTTGACTCTATTGCCGGTGCACTTCAAGTGTTTCTCTGAAGAGAAAATGAGGGTTCATTTATACTGACTGCTGGGTTTCTCCTCATGTAAACCTTTCTCCAGCCCAGAGATGTGTAATGTAACTATGGACAAGCCGGTTTTGAAGAAATTTACGTAAGTATGAGGCTGTGAAAGTGGCCATGGGTGCTGCATGCATAAATCAATTGGTTGCGCATGAATACTTCCTGCATGAATGGAAGAGGCATTAGTCCCATTTGTTGTGATGCAACCCTGGTGCCTAAAGAACACTGATGTCTCACATATTGCCAAATTAAGCTCTGCATTGCTTTTACCAGCATTCTCTGTCAAGTCAGCTTCAAGTTGTAATATGCAACTGCAACACATCGTTAAAATCAGATCCTAAACTATTAAAAATATTATTATTAAAACTGATGCCTAAAAAGAGACACACAATTTCAAACAACAAAATGTGGTTTACTGAAAAGTATATTTCGTATTACAGTGGGACCTCCGTATCCGCAGTTTCAGTTATCTGTGGTTTGCGACGGTCTGAAAAAAAGGAAAGTTTCAGAAATAAGCAGTTTGAGTTTCAAACCACACGTCAAGTGAGAACAGGCTATAACATGATGGAATCTGCCAGCCCAGTCAGGCCCAGTACATCTGCCTTTGTCCCCCCACTCAGGCTGCCCCGCAGAACTCCGCCTCCAGCGTTCTTGCTGATCACACTCATCGCTTGCTATAAAAACCATGATTTTCATTGCTCCAACATCCTTTGATACATAATTCTTTTTCATTGCCCTGTTGTTTCTTAAGAATTAGGGTAAAACATTGGAATCCCTTTCTTTCGAGAGAGTGTACAGTAGTGTATAATAATGTACAATGTACTTCATTACTGTATTTATTGTTGGTAATATCTTACTTTGCGTAATTTATCAGTTAAACTTTGTCTCGATAGGGCACAGAAAAGGAGTGACGATCCTTAAGGCATTGTTCATACACCAGGACTTAAGGGGACTTCATTTCCAAACTAAGCACACACCACACCAAAAACAAAAGGACCACAAAGGCAGATAGAGCATCAAGAAATATCAAGAGCTAGAACTAACACTCAAGGAAATACTGATAATAAAGACAATAATACAGAATACTAACTGGGCCTGAAAACCACAAGCAGGTACAAATGCACAGCAAATACAACGACCAAGTCAGTATCTAAACACATCTAAGAACCATGGGAAAAAAACTGGATGGCCAGTGACATCTGCTGACAAAATGGGGACATGGCAGGGACAGATCCTGACAGGTTTGACTACGGTTAAGTTTGGACTTCGGGGTTTCTGGTGGCCCCATGGTAAATTTAGCAGAGCAATACATTTTTCTTATTGGGGAGTCAGTCACAATACATTTTGCTGACCCACATGCCTAATGCCCTACTGGAAAAATGCCTGCTATGGCAGATTAAGGTTAGGATTTGGCTGGTGACATATGATTACCGTGCAGTAATGTGGTGCAACAGAGATTGCATTACAGGCTCTGGGCATAAATGTTTAGACCTAGATCTTAGACCTGCAAGATGTTATTACATATTGTTGCCTTGTGAAAAGTAACTCAGTTAAAAGTGATGTATAGTCAAATTCCATTATTATTTTGAAATTTTTATTACATAATAAAAAGTAACGGATCAGGATCTAATAGCTATATTCGCACCCCGTTCTACCTTGCAGAGATGCATTCCTGCAGAGCCTGAATAAATCACAGAACAGGAAAAAGCAGGACATGGAAAGTGATCTGCTCAAGGAACCTGCAGCCAAGGAGAATGGCATCTTTCCTGACGCAGATGCATCCCGCTTACCCACAGATTCTAACTTCAGCACCAAAGCAGAAGGTAGTGCCACTTGTTGGCCTGTGACTGTCCAATAGGGCTGGGCAATTCATTTTAATTTCAGTTATGATTTTGGCTTCCAACGATTATCATAACAAAATAATCGAGGTAAAATGATTATCGTGCCACATTTTGCAGTGATGCTCCCGTTTTGTCTTCTGTTATAAATCCAGCACCCACCTTCTTGACCCTAATTTTTTGTTTCACAGTTGAATTACATTTAGAGAGGAAATCCATTGATAAAAGGAAAAGTTCATTTTTTTTTTTTTAAAAAGTTCAACAAATGCATGATACTTCCCAAGCCAATTGTGTAAAAAAAAATCACAATTTCAATGCTGACCAAAAATAATTGTGATTATGATTTTTGCCATAATCAAGCAGCCCTATTCTCCAGGATCTTTATCTCCCTGCTCCCTGAATTGTACTCAAAAGGAAAGACTTAATATGAAGAAAGATTAGATAAAAACAAAAAAAATGTGCTGCTCATGTCAGGTCTTTCATGGTGTGGATACTCAGGTTCACTCCCAGTCAAGTTTTTACCAGCTTTCCATTTTTTTCATAAACTGTAGATTTTTATTCTTTTAAGCATTTGAAGGTTGAGTGAACAACTATAGATGAAAATGTAAGTCAAATAAAACAAGTTTCCTTTATAACATGGAAAGAGCATGTAACAGTGCATGTCTGACAACCTACTAGCTGGTTGTGTGGTAAAGCTCAGCTGTCCTTTAAATTTAAATGCACTTAAACGCATCATATGGGAGTCTTTTATGAACGGACAACCTATCTCTAGCAAATGCACGGCAAGGTTGATTCAGTTAGCGGAGCACACCACATGCTACTGCTTTGAAAAAACACGTGAGTTATGGAAGAGATGAGCGCTCCCTCAGAGGAAACTTCAAGTGCTGGTGAAGAGCGTGACAGCTTCTACAGCATCCTTTAAAGAAGGATATTATGGAGAAAACAAGCTAAAAAGACAAACAGGACGCCCTTTTATGTGACACTATGGGACAGGTGACAACTCTGTGCATTTAATTTGCTGTCATTTTTCATTTTCTGAATGTGCTTAAGGTGGATAGATCTAGTCAAGAAAGTAAAAATACAGACCAGGATTTTGTTTCAGCCAATGATTTATGTATCAAGAGTCAGAATCACAAATTACTCAACTGATTGGTTGAAATGAAATCTCCGTCTGGATTTTTACTTTTTGGACCTGAACTAGTCATCTCTGGTTTTTAAGCCTTGTGAAATACATGTGTGAAAATATGTAATGATTCCAAATTCATTACAGGTGAAGCAGTTCAGCACCAGGAGAATGCAGAAGAAAAGCGTACAGCCATCAATGACAGCAACAAAACAAAGAGTTTGAATGAGGCAAAAGACAAGAGCCAGGTTGACAGTGGGCTGAAGGCTGGTGACACATTGGTGAGAGACCCAAAGGACGTGGCTTTAGGTCAGGATAGCATTAACTCACAGTCCCATGTGCAGATGGCAGAGGAACAGTCAGTGTGTTCAGAACGTGCACAGCTGGCACGAGAGAAGTACAGGCGTTTGCATTCACAACACAGCATTGAAGTGGAGACACACTACAGGGATCTGGAGAACACCAAGATGACACCAATGACCAGGGAGTGCCAGGACTCCTTTGATGGGGGACATCCAACTCCTATACTCAGAGTCAAAGAACTGGATTTCTCTGATCTCTTAGAGGAGGAAGACATCGATGTCCTGGATATAGACTCTTTTGACCTTGGCATGTCCCCAGGGTGTCTGACCCCCATCCCACCTCCACCCCCGCCTGGCTTTGGAATCCCACCTCCGCCTCCCCTTCCTTTTGGGAGTGTGGACATGGGATCTCCTCCTCCACTCCCATTCCATGTAGGTGGTGCTGACACGGGACCTCCACCCCCTCCACCACCCCCAGGCATGCCCCCGGCTCCCCCTACACAAAATCTTGAACCTGGTTTTACCAAGAAGAGGAAAACAGTCAGATTGTTCTGGAAGGAGCTTAAGCAAACAGACAGCCGCAGAAAATCCAGATTTGGAGATGGTACACTGTGGGTTACCTTACAAAAAATATCTGTGGACACAGCTAAGCTAGAGAACTTGTTTGAATCAAAGGCCAAAGAGCTTCCTGCTCCCCGGGTAAGTATGTCTCTTCAGCTGATGTCTCATACTTTTTCAATAGTTATCTATTGTTCATCCTTCTGCATACTATGTTCATACAGTACAAAAATTCTGCAGACAGTACATATGTCTGTTTTACTGTGTTATTTCCCTGTTGTGTTATTTCCCTGCTGTGTTATTTCCCTGTTGTCTTATTTCACTGCCATGTTATTTCCCTGTCGTGTTACTTGCCAGCTGTGCTAAATTCCTTGTTGTGTTATTTCCCTGTCATGTTATTTGCCTGACATGTTATTACCCTGGGGCCTGTTTCACAAAGCAGGATTACTTGCTTAGCCAGATTTAAGGTAGTCTGGGCTAAATGTAAGTTGATGAAAATAAGGTCTATTTAGCCCAGACTACCTTAAATCTGGCAAGTTATCTGGCTAAGCAAGAAATCCTGCTTTGTGAAACAGGCCCCTGTTGTGCTATTTTTCCTGCTGTGATATTTTCCTGCTTTGTTGCTACAGAAGGCAGCTGAAGGGAAAAAATCTGAGATACACGTCCTGGATGCCAAGAGGAGTAATGCAATCAACATCGGAATGACTGTCTTACCTGCCATCCATGTCATTAAGAGTGCCATACTTAATTTTGACGAATTTGCAATCAGCAAAGATGGTATCGAGGTAGGAATCCTGCAGTTGCTCTTCTAGACCTCTCCCCGTAAAAGCTACTGTGGCTTTTTATTGGATCATGGAGGATAAAGTATTGGTTGCTAAAAATGGTTAACATTCTTGTCCATAGAATGCTGTCCAACATTTTGGGAAGGAATGCAAAAAACATTTAAAATATATATATATATATATATATTACCCATGGAACTATCAGACAAAATGAGCATTTCAGTTTCATTCTGTGCATTAGATAGTTATCACACACACATAGGGCCCTGTTTTGCACCAATGGAATGTTTGGTTTTGCTAGTTTCATACCAACGCATTTCTTATTTCCACACCAAGTGCGCATGTTTTCAAAATAACAAACGATTTTGGTGTTTATTAAATGAGGTTTGGTTGGGCGCATTGTTGTAGCGTGCCGCTATTTTAAGGTAACAAAATGACATTGCACAAAAACCGTATCTAAAGTAACTGCCGTATTATTAAACGATATTTAAGCAGCGCGTTTTAGAAACGTGCAGGTACACAATGCTCGATTCTGACACGGGTTCGTACTACAGTGCACTATTGGTTTTTCATTCATTTATTGTATATCATTTATATATGTTTTATTAGAGTACAACTGAGTACAACTGATATATAAAAGAATGAACTGTATCATTAAAAAATCATTTGAGTTCAAAATTATGTATTATTGATGAACTATTTGACCAATCGACACACATGGGTATTTAAACACACTAGGTTGTGAGTGTTCAGTGAGAACATTTAGCAAAAAGTGGAGGAATTTAAGGTGGAACAGTGGTGCTCCCGTAGCTGATGTGCTCACACATTTTCACGTGAACGACCAGGTCCATTTCCTTCAAAACCGATCTGGCTTTCCAAGTAAACTCACCATTACAATAGCAATCCGCTGTAGCTCATGCGCCCCTGCCTCTTAAAGGTCAGGTGAGGTGCCATTCTGATTGGTGTATTGCACGTCACGCCCAAAACATACCTCTGACTAATTAAGAGAGTTAGTTGGTTAGTTTTGCACCCTGTGCTGCCGCAAAGTCTGTTTTTTTCCATCGTCAAAATATCAAAAGGAATCTGGACTCACCCATAAATGTTACTTGCACCTTGCACTTTGTGTTACATTGTCAAAACAGAGCCCACAGACTGATTATTCTAATGTTGTGTCCTCTTTCTGTGTCAGAAAATTCTGACCATGATGCCAACTGAGGAGGAAAAGCAGAGGATCCAGGAGGCACAACTAGCCAATCCCGATGTGGCTCTAGGGACAGCAGAGCAGTTTCTCCTCAGCCTGTCCTCCATCGGTGCCTTGGCAGCCCGGCTGCAGCTCTGGGCCTTCAAGCTCAACTATGAGACACTTGAGAAGGTCAGTGTCCTCCCAGGATAACTCCTCACTGCAGAGTGGCTTGAATGGTGCGAATGAATGTTTTTTTTTCTTGTTATTTTCAGCTTGTTTAAGTTATTAAAACAGACACAATTATGAATTCATTAGCTTAATAGAATAACATGGAACTACAAAAAATAGGTAAATGCTGAAATCACTGGTGAGGGACTGTCACTCAGAGGGACTCCCAAACAGTCCACGCTGGACTCCACAATGCAGCCCATCAGTCATCTTCGCCAGATTATTAAGTCCACTTGTTGAGCATTTCCTGTGAAATTAGGTGAATACTGGTTGTTGCCATCTGCTTGCTCATTGTGGCATTTTTCTTTATCAGTCTGATTGTTTGTTGCCATTCCTGTTCTCATTTTTATTTAAATAGAGAAAGCAGTGTAAAACAATATTATGTGAATAAATAATTATGGAAGGGTCAGTCAGGCTGTCTAAATCAGTTAAGCAGGGAAGCCTTGCAGGTTCTACCTCCATGTATTTTGTTCTGCAGGAAATTGCTGAACCCTTGTTTGACCTCAAAGTGGGTATGGAGCAGCTTGCCAAAAACGAAACACTAAAGTGCATTCTTGCAAGCTTTTTGGCATTTGGAAACTTTCTCAACAGTTCCAATGTGAGTACATTACAATTTTTACATAATTATTTCATTAACAACTGAAGTATTAAGTCTACGAACAGCTGTTCAGCAAGCGTTTGTGTAGATATCCCCAACATAGATTTATTTTCTGCTTATTCTTGGTAATCAATGTATTTTATCATTTTAGCATGTTGGCATGTTTTAGTCGAAGTTTTGTCAGTTATTGTTGTAATAAGAGATGTTAGCATGATGGACTGCATGGATCTGTGGTATGAATAAAGCTCTAACAGCAGGTTGTGCTGCAGGCCAAAGGCTTTGATCTGAGCTACTTGGAGAAGGTAGCAGAGGTGAAGGACACGATGCATAAACAGTCTCTCCTGCACCACGTCTGCAACTTCATCATAGAGAACTACCCAGAGACATCGGATTTGTACTCTGAGATCCCTGCAGTCACAAACTTTGCTAAAGTTAGTCCAACAATCAAGCCTAATCAAGCATATCTAGCTATTCTTCATCTGCGTTGGTTAATATCTTGATCTTATTGATCTTGTACAATTTCCCATGATTCAGGTTGATTTTGACCAGCTTTCAGACAACTTGGTCCAACTGGAGAAGAAGTGTAAAGCATCCTGGCACAATCTGAAGGAGATTTGCAAGTATGAGAGCAAACAGCTGCTGAAGAACAGGATGAAAAAATTCCTAACGAACTGCACAGACAGGGTTATTGTCCTCAAAGTGGTGCACAGGCGGCTGGTGAACAGGTAACGGAACCACATACCCAGGGCTGTAGGAACCGGGGGGTGGGTGGGGGGTCACCAGGTCATCAGGTGAACGTTTTAAACAAATCATTGCATTTACTGTAGCCCAATCTGGCTTAGTTTGATAAAAAAAAAAAAATTATGAGTTTGTAAAGTAAGAATTTTCCCTTCAGATTTCACTCTTTTCTGCTGTACCTGGGTCATCCCTCCTACTCTGTCCGAGATGCAAAGGTAACCCAGTTCTTTAAGACCATTAGTGACTTTTCTCTGGAGTATCATACAACCAGAGAAAGGGTTCTTACTCACAAGCAAAAACGGAATGCCTTGCGGCTGAGGACCAAGACTCGAGGGAAGCTGATCACAGAGGTGAGAGGTGATATCATACGCGTAAAATAGGGGTTGATACATGCGTAACCATTTTTCATTTATACTAAGTTTGACAGAATAAATTCCTGATGTTGTCTTTATGATTTGAGATGTGATTAGTATTGGTTGGAAGACAGCTGAGAGTGTATCATCCACTTGTCTTCTTCCAGACTGAGAAGTTCTCCAGTGCTGTGCCTTTAGAGCCCCAAGTTAGCCCTGTTGCTGTCTCCACCACTCCAGAACCTGAAGTTGCTCAGGAAGAACATGAAAACATGAAGAATGTTTTAATTACCAACGCAGAGCCTCACATCATCCGGCGCACACGCGGAAGTGAGACACTATCCCAGGCAGCTAAGCTCATTGATTCAAAATAACCTTTAATATTACCAACAATAGAACCTGCTTTTGCCTTTACACTTCACTCCAGCATACACTCATCTAGTGTAACCAGATAACACAACCAAACATTCACCAATCGCATACATTTACCATATTCTATCTAATATACTGAACACAAAATAATCGGTATACTACACCAACACTGAGCTCTACAGTGGTTTCACTGGCACTTATAGCAATAAAATGCCCTCCTGGGCAGCTAAGCTTTATATAACTACTTTCTTGGCTCAGGTATGATTGGCATGGATGTGTATGGCCTAAACCCAACACTTGATTAGGTATTCTGCCTTGCTTTTGTTAAGCATATTCTATATATAAAGATATTACAATGGTAGCTTTCAATGTAAAAATTGTTGTGGCTTTTGAATCAAGATGAAAGCAAGTTTCTTTTTGTTTGCTGCCAGACTTAAGAAGGGTTAGTCCATGCGATTTGTCAGGAGCCAGAGAGGACAGTACTGGTTCCCAGGACGATGCCACGGAAGAAATCATGGACTGCTTGGTAAAATCTGTCACTCAAAACCCAACAGACAGGCCATCCAGCACAAGACCACGACAACGGTCCAAGGCCCAGAGGAAGTCCTGTAAGTATATACAGATATGATTTCAACACCCAACATGTTAAATTATGTGTTAATTTAACATTATCCCTTTTGATTGACTGTGTGAGTGCAATAGCACGACACCTCTGTGTACTGTATGTTGGCTGAAAAATTGTGAACTCAGCAACCAAAAAACAGCTCCTGTAGCTCAACAAGTACAGTATTATGCTTGGCTTCAAATTCCACACAAATTGTAACCCTTCCCTCTACTGTAAATAGCAGTGGATAAAAGCGTCACATTAACAAGCGAATCTTGATCTGTGGTAAAAGGAACCTTGCAGCTGTTTCCTGCTTTTTAAAAATAATTTCTGTCCTGTTATATAAGTGGGCTGCCTGGTTTCTTAATAATGTTTTTAACACTTAAAGTGAGTTAGTGGTTTTACGATTTTGTATAAGTTTAAGGTTTTTTTTGTCATGCACAATCATACACTGTGCTGCTGTATATCTACCCATCACTGCTTAATTCCAACTGGGGTCACTGGAGCCTATCCCAGGAACAATGGGCACAGATAGGAACCAACCCTGGGCAGTTGTCAACAGACCGCAGGGAACATACACTCACCAGTCAACCTATCCTGCACACTTTTGGAACAAGGGAGGAAACTGGAGCCCCCAGCAGAAACCTACATGAACACAGGGAGAGAGCATGCAAACTCCACACAGAAAGGTCCCGGGAAAGGTCCCGGGACCAAACCCAGGACCTCCGTGCTGACCACTGCACCACCATGCCACCCTTACTACTGTACAGTGAAAAGTTTTTCACCTATTTCCTGGATCATGCAATACAAATCAAAAAGTACAGCAGCATAAAAAGAATATAATAAGATTATGGTAAAATAATATGCAATAAAATAACAGAAAATTACTTTAAAATAGACAAAAATGGAAAGCAGTATGTCAGCAACTGAAAAAGATTTGCAGTGACAGCGGATTGATAAAGTCTATAAAGTGACCTGTTTGCTGCGTCCTCGTTTAGAATGCAAATGGGCGTTTCCAATTCCAAATTGCCATTAATACACAAAAAAAATCGAACTGTATGAATTTCAGTTATATCATGAATATGTGGATATCAGCAACATATAACCAAATTAAAATCTGTGCTGTTTTTCAGTACGGAGAACCTCGGATGTCGCTAAAGCCCTTGAACTGATGAAGAAGGTGGCACTGATAGAAGCTCACCATTGATGATCCACCAAAACACATGGCGTGTGCAAGGCCTTGAGTCTTTCTGGAGAACTAGGAAAAAGTGTTGAAAGATACCACAGCAGCATCATATAGATGAGTTGTGGGCTGATATGTAACAGCCATTTGCAGTCCAGTCGCCTTATTTAATTTGAATTAAATAAGAGAGTCGGACATGGCTGTGAATTCTACATTGAAACCAGAAAGCAAATAGTTACTTTAGTCTTGGTAGTGGGAGAAATTAAGCTTTTTACTTGTATGGAAATAGAATTTTCTAGATGTGTGTGTATACGGGTTGCTATGAATATGTTTTGACTTATGACCTTAGAAATGGCCTTTATCATACGTGTGCATTTAATAGTTGCACTGGTGAGCAGCTACTGAACCATGCTGATGGTTTGAGTTCTAGGTTATAGTATAAGCACAGTTTAAGTTTTTGATTTGGATATTGCCTGTTTACAGTATTGGCTTTGATGCAATGAGATTTCTTTTGCAGAGAACTCAAAAACGAATCTACTGAAGAACAAAATAGTGACAGGCTGAAGAGCTGGCGCTCTGTGTATTTGGGGCATGTATGCTCAGGTGTTCATTGTTGTGGGTTTTGTCAATAAAGCATACCTTGTTCTTGCTGGTGTCAGTTTGTGTCTGAGATACGAGACAGGATGTTCCTCACTGTCAATCTCCTGGGCCAGAAGGAAGCTCATCCAGCAGCCTCTGCAACCTCCTAATGTCTTCTCCCCAGCTTCCTCTCGGATTGCACCACTACATCATCTTCAGCCGGGGGAGGGGCCTTAGGACCTGGAAGGTGGTTGGGGCCCCATGTAACCCAAAGGGGGGGGGGGGGGCAGTGTACTTCCAGTGCCCACTAAGGCTGCTGAACACAGTTTTTCTCCTGGGCCAGTTTGCTTACATGCTTCCCCTCTTAGTCCAGTATTTGTCTTCTGTCATTGTTATTGTTTCTGGTTCTCTATTCCCATGCGCCTTATAACTCATAGTTGTGATTTTTGTGCACTCGCTTTTTTGTTTTCACTGGTGTTTTCCAGTTACAAATTTTGCTTAACAGTTTCCACTGTCCCTTTTTTCCATCAAACATTTCAATATGCAAAGGGACTCATATTTTATCCATTACTTTAAGATTTTTTTCACCCCCAATGTCACTGTTCTGATTTGCACAAAAAATGCACGAGAATAGAACTTGAGTTCTAATTACTTATAAAAACATTATAAACAGTCACACAAACTGTTCTATACATAAGAACATAAGAACATAAGAAATTTACAAACGAGAGGAGGCCATTCGGCCCATCAAGCTCGTTTGGGGAGAACTTAGCTAATAGCTCAGAGTTGTTAAAATCTTATCTAGCTCTGATTTAAAGGAACCCATGGTTTTAGCTTCCACTACAATAGCAGGAAGACTATTCCATACTCTGACTACACGCTGTGTAAAGAAGTGCTTCCTCAAATTTGTTTTAAAATGTTCTCCCGCTAATTTCCACTTATGGCCACGAGTTCTAGTATTTAGACTAATATTGAAATAGTCATTTGGCTGAACGGCATCCAGACCCGTTAGAATCTTATAGACCTGAATCATATCCCCCCTTAGCCTCCTTTGCTCAAGGCTGAACAGATTCAGTTCCGCTAACCTCTCCTCGTAAGACATTCCTCTAAGACCAGGAATCATTCTCGTAGCTCTTCGTTGCACCTTTTCTAAGGCAGCAATGTCCTTCTTGAGGTATGGTGACCAAACCTGCACACAGTATTCTAGGTGGGGTCTTTCCAAGGAATTATATAAGTGTAACATCACCTCCCTTGACTTAAACTCCACACATCTAGAGATATAACCCAACATTCTGTTCGCCTTTTTTATTGCTTCCCCACATTGTCAATACAATACAATATACAATATTGCACGACTAGTAAAATAATTTTGCCCACAGCAATGATGCATTTCCACTTGAATTACTACATTACCAGTAGGTGGCAGTGTTGATTCAAATGACTTCTAAAGTGTAACATTTAATTCATGAGCAAGATAAGACATTCAGATTTTACAAGGTGTCCATAAATTAGAACTTAAAACAATTTAGCATTTTAACTTAGCCTGGTCAGGGTTGCACGGCCAAAATATAACATAAATAATATAATAAAATGCTAAATCTAATGTGTTTTCAATGGATGGTTTTTGCAGTTTAGGCATCTGACCATTTTTTTACTTCAGAATTACTAGTTTGCCGATAGCCATGACCAGGACAAGCAGCTAAAAAACTGCTGGGTGGCTGGATCAATGGATGTTTGTTTGTTTGTTTGTTAATTTATCTATCAGTAATTATTGATAGTTACTTAATTAAAACCAATGGTGTTCTTTTCCATCTTTATTTCCCCAAAATAAAATGGCTTGATATTATAAGAGTAAGCAAATTATTCATATCCAAATTTTACACAGGCATGCAAGTAAAGCAGATCTTTTGAGAGGATCAGCAGGCTACTCTCATACTTGTTCTCATACATGTATATGAGTATTAGGAATGGGTATGAATAGTATGATTTTGCCTAATAGTACTGTGTATCAGCTATAACACATACGCATAATACTAACAAAGCAGGCCTAGGAAGTGTCATATCCCACATGAATAAGGCGGTTTATTGCTTTCTCACAGTACAAATTGCAGCTGAAGAGCTCATTCAACTCACTTAGTCCTGTTTTGTTTTTTAGATGAGACCACTAATGACCTTACGTCAGGTTTCCTTATCATATGTTACAGTATTGTGACCCAAAACGTCATCAGGAGCTGAATCTGAGTAGGGCAGCGCATATAAATTCAAATGCTCAAAATTCATTTACCACAGTTATTAAAGTTTTTTTTTTTAAAGATTAACACTGTTCCTACAAACTTTGAAAATCACTTGGTGCACAATGCACACAAGACCATGATGTACATGCCAATGTATCAGCTAGAGAGGCATCTTCAACACAGAATTTCTAATTGACAAGAACTTCACCATCACTGCTCCCTGTATCATCACACCCATCCACTGAAATCATCCAAAATATAGTTAAGTTTAATATAACAAATTGTTTAAATGATAATTACTCATGATTGATAATGAATTCATCCATAAAGTTGCATAAATAGACAAAAAACATACTAAAAAGTAAAAAAAAAAAAAAAAAACGTTTGAAATACATTCTTACCAAAGTCTTCTTGCTAACGTCCAATGTGATTTGATGGTATGCTTTTCCAATAGCTTCTTTATATTTCTGGACAGTAAAGGGTATGTTGGTCCCTCACACATTTACCACCTCTGATCCATCAGAGTAAAGAAGCACAGGAGGTCCATCAGCTGGATCTTGAAAAGAAGGACCTACATTTTTTGTGTGCTAATTGCAGCACAGCATCGACTCAGGGTACAGGGCTGATATTAAGCGGCAAGGTTCTTCCTCCCCCAGACCTCAGACCTTGGTTCGTTTTTTGCATTACACCAATGTTGATCTGTGATATATATAAAATATATAATGTGACGTTCAGTGAACCAAGGATCCGGCGAAATGGGCAAGAAGCGAGGCAACACCTTCACACATCAGGCTCTTTTACTGATAGCCGTTTAAAGGAATCACACAGGATGTCAGACAGCAACGACCCACCACCTTCTCTCTCCTACTAAACACACAGCTCACTGCGTTGGCTCCTTTTTCCTGTTACTACTGAGCCCTAGGACAGCCCAGGGTGCTGTTGATAGCATAAAGCTTGACTGCTTGCCAAGTCAATGTAAGCGCAGTGCTTAAAAGCCTTGATGTCACTATTGACTCAGCCTTGTCTCTGGATGCTCACATAAATCATGTGGTTAAAACAGCTTTCTTCCATCTGAGAAATATTGCGAAACTTATAACAACTTTTTCACTTTAGGATGCAGAATAGTTAGTCCACGCCTTTATAACCTCTATTCTGGACTACAGCAGTGCCCCATTGGTTGGGTTTGCCTCGACATCATTAAATAAACTCCAATTGGTGCAGAATGCTGCAGCAAGAGTTCTACAATGAACTAGGAAACATGAGCATATCAGTCCTGCATTGGCCTCACTCTGCTGGCTTTAACTGCTAGGTACTTTTGCTTATCTATAAAGCACTGAATGGCCTAGCACCACAGTAAATCAGCAGTTATCTGGATCTATATAACCCCCCTCATTTTCTTCACTGTCAAGGGGTAGGATATCTGGCGGTGCTTAGAGTGGACCGATCTTCATTTGGATGAGGAGCATTATGTTGCAGGGCTCCAAAGTTGTGGAATAGTCTACCAGTAAAAGTGTGATATTCACACTGACTCGCGATATTTAGGTCAAGGCTAAAAACTCACTTGTTTGATCTAGTATTTGGTGACAAAGCTGATAGCTAGTTCTCACCTCCAGCTGCTGCGAGAGAAATCGTGCTTCCTATTTTACCCAGAATCTTGTAGTGTGTAAAGTACTCCTCTTTTTACGTTTCCGTTAAAAGAGTAAACATAATGGACAAAAAAAAAACATGTAACATTAACCAAATAATAACAGGGCTAAAAGCAAAGGGTACACACAGTATGTATAGCTGCAGGTGCCCACGGTCAGCCATATGATAGTTTGTCGATGGTTATGTTTGGTTTTATTGAGCTGAAACTTATCTTCTAACCCTGACTTAGTAAACAGGTTTTGTGACACAAGCCCCTGAGTTCTTTGCACATGCTGGTGAGTTTTGAGTGGAGGCAGTGAGGAACCAGAATGGAACAGAAAAGGGAAAATGACAGACATGCATAAACAGCCAAACAGCAGCATTTAGCAAATGCTAACTATTAAGAATTTTATATTGAAACCATTTGTAAACATTTCCCAATGACGTCATCTGAAAAATATTCACATAGCTGACAAAACAGTACATTACTAAAATAACTGATTTTTAAAATTTATTCTTATAGAACCTTTAAACATCTACTGTAAATTAACGCAATAAACTAATGACCACTTTTGGAAATCATGTTATATTGACTGTTGTTGATTTCACTAGCAGAATGACATTGTTCCTAATACTACAAAAAGGCCCTCTTTGACCTCTTTGTGACAGCATGACAGAAGCACATCTTAATTGCTTTGCGCTCCAAAAGATCAGAAAGGAAATTAGAGTACGGCAGAGAACAGAGTTTAGAGGGTACAATAAATAATGAGCAACGGACGTTCTTAAATAAACATCCAATGACACACTGTCCCAGCATTGCATCTTACAGCACGTAATCAGACTTCCAGGAACAGCCATGGCGGTGGAATCCTTGACCATGCAGGGATGGTTTTGTGAGGGTCGTAAGCCACTAGAGCCATGAGCCAGGGATTCAAACTGTCACTGCTCTGTCGAGTTTAAAGATAATTCAGACAAAAAGTTTCAATGTATTCTAAACACAATGATATTAACAGATTGTGTTACTGCCCCAAACATATTCTGTTGCTATTCTATCAGTTGCTGATCTCCCCTGAGTACTGACTGCTGCTCTTCATCCCTGTCATTACCTAACCTATATAACTGGTCTGGCTATTTTTCTCCATGCAAGGAATTGTCCCCATGTGTGTGTTTTCTGAGGGTCTCTCCCCAGTCTCTCTTGTTTGCTTGTGTTTCCGTGAATGTGCTGCTGTGTGTTTGCTTTCCCCAATGCCTTGGCCGGGGGTCGTGATTCCTCACCCCCTTACCAGTGTGAGTGTGTGTCCCCGCGGTCCCATGTCTTCATATGTGCCTGCCTTTAAACACACCCCTGGGACAGACCTTTTGTATATTTAGCCCAGACTACCTTAAATCCGACAAGTTAAGCAAGAAAACCTGCTTCTGTGATAAAGGCCTCCGGTAGTATTTTCCGGGTTCTGACTGACAGAGCTATAGACTAAGAGCTGAAACTGTCCTTCCTAGTTCCAGGTAAACAGCTTTGTAGTTTCTAAGTGGCTTCCCTGAGGGCAAAATGCCAGCATGGGCCAGTTACGAAATAGGGCTTCTCTGACGAAAACGCTTATATCTTACAAACAGAACATCATGGAAAGAAAATTTCAATGCAGATTTATTCCAGAGACTCTCCAGAATCCAGACATACCCAACTGGGTAAGTCCTACTGTAATTGCCTCCTGGTAATCACTCCAGTCCAACAGATGGGACTTCAGTGTTAAATAGGTTAACATTTTAGCTATCTAGGTACGTTTTTAACCTCCTGAGACCCCACCCATTCATTTATGTCCATTGTAGTGGACATTTTGTTTTTGCATGTATCTTTTCATTGATGTAATGAAACGTATTTATTCCTGTTGTACACTAAAGAGGGCATGCTGTGAATTTAAAAATACAAATTAATTAAAAAAAATCTAAATTGTAAGATGTCTTATTTCCTCCAAAGATAAATAACCTAAAATTGAAGGACACTTTTTTCCTTGGGTCTCAGGAGGTTAAGGGTTTCGGAACTAAAAACAAATACAGATACTCCTCGCGTAACGATCTACCTGTATAACGACCACCCAGACTTATGACCAGCCCTCCAACCAGTTGGTATGGTACGCTGTACGAGAACTTTGGTCGTGGAGAGGGCAGCATGGCATCTCAGCGTCAAGCACCTCACTCACATCACCCTCTCTCGGTCTGTCTCATTCCCCACAGTCGCTCAGTATTCATTACAATGGTGCTCGCAGTCTCCAAGACTACATATTTCATCTATGAATTTGTAGTTTATTGTGCACCTGATGTCATCAGAAAGGAAGACTGTGACTTCATCTGGAGGAAGCGCCAAAAAACAAAGGAAGGCTATCGATCTTGAAATGAAAATGAAGATCATAAACAAAATAACTAAAATGTTAATCTGAATGTATCTTTGTTTTTTTAATACATCATTTTTATAATTTTTGCTGGTTGTATTTTTATGGTCTATAACATGTAAGAGTTATGCAAATGAAAACAAAGTTATCCAGTTGGAGCTTGAAATATCAGTAAGGGGCAGCTCCTTCGCTTATTGACTAATTTGCTTAACGACCTGGTCATAGGATCAGAAGTCGGTCGGTAAGTGAGGAGTGTCTGTATTGTGAGGATGACAAAGAAGAAATGGCATCGTCTGGGTTTCATCCCTGTCTGAGAATAAAAATTTTAGTTGATGTTTTTCACTTAATAAGTGATGAATGTGAGCTGCATGGCACCAGTCGGAGTGTTCTGATATTGGCTTGGAGGGTGAGACCCTATTTCAAAGCAAAATAAGATTTCAGTTTGTCTAATAAAAATACATCCCTTTTTCAGTTTAACCCCTGATCAGCTTTATGTCAGTCAGAACCATGAAAAATATTGTTCTGACCATTGATTATCTGCTGTCCTCAGGTCACGCTGCTGTTCTTGGTAACTAAATGTCACTATTTTGAGTGATGGTCAGTTGGCATTGTAAGCATAAAAATGATTGTGATATCATCGAGTGCTTAAATGGTATTTTACTCAAACAGAGTTCTTGTGAGAGTTAGCAGCACTATATTTCTGGTAAAGCTCACATGGCCTACTGTCTGCAGTGGGAAAGAGGGAGGGGTCAAAGTAAGGATCGTGAGCTACTGTAAAGCTCAGCTATTGTACACAGGGTAGATCTGCCTGGAGAGGCTCCTCCCCCCAACAGCAGTCTAGTCAGAGTCGTATATAAACAAAGAGAACTTATCATGCGACTGTGTTTTTGGGTGTCTCACTGACAAGTTTAGCTCTTCGCATTTCTATTGTAAATCTAAAACCTATTTTTTTCAAAGAGGAGAAGCTGATTTTATGTCAGTGAGCCATGAAGGAATTTGCACTGTCCTTCTGGATCTACATGGGAGTGATGTCTGTGTTTGTTGGGGGGGCCCTGAGGAAATCGCTGGCAGCCCACATCAGAGCGGCTGCCACCATAGTGGCCTGGCTGGGGGTCACGGTGCTGGTGGAGAGGCTGTACTGGCTCAGCCTGCTGGGCTTCCTTCTGGTGGCTGTCCTGGCCGCTGCCTGCTGTCTGTATGCGGGCAGGAGTGCACCCGTCCTGGGCCTCCCTACAGACAGTAAAGTGGTCTTCATCACAGGTAGGACGCCATGCACATCTCCATCAGCTCTTGTTGTCACTCTTAATTTACTTTATGCCGTCTTCTCCCATGGGGTACCTAAGTAAAAAAAAAGCATATAAAAAGTTACATACTTTTAAGTTACATGTTTTCTCCCGTCTGCAGCGCGGTCACACAAAGAAAAAAGTGTGGCCATGCAAGAAGAATAATTAATTCCTCAAGCAAGAAAAGAAGGTTACGCCCTCAGTGATTTTGCAACAAACAAAATGTGGAACATGGACTTTTTAATTTACCTTCTGTGAATCTAATTGAAATCCACAAAAATCCTTTTATTTTGAAAATGAAAGCATGGTGGAGTAGCCTGCTGCCTATTTGGGGAAAATAGTTGATGAATCATTGAATCAGCGCTAGAAAATAACAGAATTTCAATATACGTAAGTGAAGATAATATCAATTGCTCTACACAAAATTCAAACATCCTATTTCATTGTAACATTGTAACATTTTGTTTTTGTCATTTTCAAAATGAGGGAGTTTCCTGAGGATTTCAATTAGGTTCACAATGTAAATTAGAAACTCTGTGTTCCACATTTTTCGTGCTGCCAGAAGTCACTGAAAGCATAACCCCCCTTTTCTTGCTTAATGATGTAATTAGAATTTTTTTTCAGGTTACATGCTCTGAATATGCATAACTCATTTATTATAAAATTACATTACTTTCTTAGCTTGCAAGCCTGATGGGAGGATCGGCCCCGTAAATCGATGGTAGAATGCACTTAAGTGGAAGAAGTGCACAGCTACATGCTTTCTTGACTTAGGTCAGGGTTCCCCAATTCCAAACTTCCTTGCTCAAACAGATCTTAATCAGCTAATTACCATGGTTAGTAGGTATGCCTGAGCTGGGAAGTCTGCAAACTATGTTGCAAGCAGGTGCTCAGGATAGAATTGGGAAATCCTGACTTCCCTTCCCTTGCTGGGGTACAGCAAGCCAGGGCCCCCTCTACCATACTTCAGATAGTTCTCTTGTGTGGATCCCCGATGGTAGTATGAGCTGCTGAACCCAGTCATCAGATTTCCTCTTTCCCTTCAAGAAATGCCTCAAGATCCATTTGATCCACAAATTCCTCTACTAGCCAGATGCCTCCTGCCTCCCTATGCTTCCAGAATGTTCTTATGTCGCACTTCTGGTCCTATTATACTCTTATTAGGTTCTTGCTTTGCTAGAAGTTGTTGTGTAGCTCCTGCTCCAATGATGCTTGCACTTGTACCTGGGCTTTTGTTGGAAGCTCAGCCTAGCTGAGCAATTTGTGGGGCGACGCACTGGACGCTTCAGGTTGTGTCTTTGGTCATTGCAGATGATGTGGTCATGTTGGCTTCATCGAGACCTGCAGCATGTCCTAGGATGGATTGCAGCTCAAGTCTGAGGTCATGGTTCTCGACTGGAAGAGGGTGCATTGCCCCAGCCCAGTTAGGGATGGGTTACTGCCTCAAGTGGAGGAATTTAAGTATCTCAGGGTCTTGTTCCTAAGTGAGGGGAGATGGGAGCAGGAGATCAGTACAGCATCAGCAATTATGTGGATGCTGTACCATTCTGTCGTTGAAAACAGAGAGCTGAGCCAGAAGGCAAAGCTATTGTTTTACCAGTCAATCTACATTCCTATCCTTGCATATAGTCACAAGCTTTGGGGTGTGACCGAAAGAATGAGATTGTGGACAGAAGCGGTAGAAATTAGTTTCCTTTGCAGACTGTCTGGGCCCAGCCTGACAGATAAGGTGAGGAGCTTGGACATTCAGAAGGAGCTCAAAGTACAGCCACTGCTCCTCCCCATCGAAAGGAGCTAGTTGAGGTGGTTTGGGCATTTATCCTTGGGGAGGTGCTTTGGCCATGTCCAACTGGGTGGAGACTCTGGGGCAGACCCAGGACATGCTGGAGATATTATATCACTCAGCTGACCTGGAACTCCTTGGTATTCCCCTAGAGGAGCTGGAGGAGGTGGCTGGGGAGAGGGAGGTCTGGGCATCCCTGCTTAGACTGCTGCCCCTATGACTATTTCCCAGATAAGTGACAGAAAATGGATGGATGGATGGATGGATGATACAATGGATTTATTAAGATACTTTTATGTCCCAAACTGTCCTGAACTGTGGTGGCATTTAAAAGCAAGAGTGCCTGGTGTTTAGTGAATATTCCTACAATCCTGTTTTCCAGGTACATGATGAATGTGAGATATAGAGCTCACTGAACTTCTGTCTCAATAGGCTGTGATTCTGGGTTTGGAAATGCAGCTGCCCGGCACCTGGACTCGCTAGGCTTTGAGGTCATCGCCAGCGTGCTGCACCTGGACAGCCCAGGAGCTGTGGAGCTGCTGTGCTGCTGCTCCTCCAACCTCACCCTGGTCCAGATGGACATAACCCAGCCTAAAGATGTCCAGAAAGCCTTCAGCAGAACTAAGGCCAAACTTGGGCTCAGAGGTAATAAGTCACAGTATAAGATGAGCTACCACCATGATTTATAATGATTCCACTGCTTCTGTGAGAGTGGGTAGCAGGGGTCAGGGAGGCAAGGAAATTCTTATTTCACATTATCCCACAAGCAGACAGCAGGTGGCGCAATGATGGACACACCCCCAGTCAGGGGCGTGGCTCTAACTATGCAGAGGCACAATTAAGAATTTCATACTTCTTAAATAAGAATTGCATATGAAAGCATTATGTAAGAGGGAATTAGGCCCAGAGTCCTGTGCTTGGAGAGAGGGCAGCATCTTACCTTCATAGTAGCCCTAGGGTAGACAGTCACCCAGGCACTGGTGTTCATAGTCCTGGGTCCAAGACCAGAGCCCTGTGCTTAGATGCAGGGTACCAACCTACCTTCATAGTAACCCTTGGTATTGGGCTAAGGTTTGGGTTAGGGAGTTAGGGTTACAGTGTGGGTCCCTAAGTGGTTAGGGTTAGGGAGTTAGGGTTACAGTGTGGGTCCCTAAGTGGTTAGGGTTAGGGAGTTAGGGTTAGACACTCCTGCAGTGTGTAGTATGGTTAGGATGAACCACACTGCTGGAGTGGGTTGTAGGATTAGGATTAACTAGGATTAATAATTGGTAGGGTTAAGATCAACCATACTGCTCGAGTGGGTGGTAAGGTTAGGAAAACCAAGAACCTAACAATTCCAGAAATGTCCATTATCCTATTGACTCTCCCTGGAAATGAACCCCTGACTGTAAACTCAGCTGGTATCTTTAGGCAACATTTTAGAGGTTGGGTTACTGTAAATGAAATACAAATACAGTGGTACCTCGACCCACGAACAGTCCTGTTCAAGAACAAATCGGGTTACAAACCAGACTTTCGAAAAAAATAGAGAGAGAGAGAACGTTCTGTTATAGCGCTACCTTTCAGTGATTGATAAACATGCTTGTGATGGTTTTTAACAGTCACATATCTATAAATAAAATTACAGTACTTCATTAATAACATAAATTATTAAGTAACTCCTATTTAAGTGTTATATTCTCCATTGACACATAGTGGCAACTGTGTATTGTTTGTTCACAGTACAAAGAAGTTCATGATGCGTGGCATCATGAAATGTACATAAAACTTTAGGCGTATGAAAATAATGTACCGTATAATAAAAGAAAAATCACATTTTCTAAATTACTATATTGTTTTTGACTGTTACTCAGTCTTTTAATTTAGTTTTTTGGGGGGATGTTTTGTGGTTCTTTTCCATGTTTTGGCATCTTTCGAGCGACCAGCCCACCAACAAGCATATGCTCAGTTGTGTATTGGTCCGCCTTCCGTAATCGTACGTTCTCTCTTTCCCTTTTTTGCTCTTTAAGGTTATTATAATTTAAGTCTATATTCTTGGTCACAGAAAAACATAAAAAGAAATTGAAAAAAATCAGTGTTTCTGAGGTTTGAACGAATTATTTGTATTTACATTATTTTAAATGGGAAAAATTGATTCAGGATGTGAACTTTTTGCGTCGCAAACTGAGTACTCGAACGAATTAAGTTCGTAAGCCGAGGTATGACTGTATCTGTGTGTGCTTACAGCTCAATAAATTTACTGAATGGTTTGTTTTCTGTTTACTCCTTCCTTTCCTTGTGTTTATCTTTTATTTTAGATCCATCATTAGCAATCTAAGAGAGTCAGCGGTTATTCTGGAACATTTCGCTTAAAGTGGTTTATTAAAAATAACATTTGGCTGCCACAACAACAACATCTTTGTTTTCATGTGCTGGTTTCTAGGAAATTGCAATTAGCAATTTCTCTTCAGTGATTTTTTTGTGAACTGTAATTAGACTGATGAAGAAGAACTCTCTGTATGAGCTATCGGGTGTTTAGCAATTGTGGTCTATTCTCGGCTCAGCAGTGTTTTTTGTGTTTGCCTTAATACTTGTTGGCTAATTTGCAGCCATGTGAGTGTCATGAAACTGGCGTTCACATCTTTTAATTTCTCTGTTTCTCCTATTTCTCTGGTATTGCCTCTTTAGAGTTTTTCATCAAAAATCTGTTTCAGCAAAGAAATATTGCATTAGCCTCAATTACATAATTTTCCTAACTTCTGGAAAGACATTTAAAATATTTTCCAAATGTAAAAAATATGAGAATTAAGTACTGTAAATTAAGAAAGGATGTTTAGTGTAGTTATTGTCATAAATTAAGAAAGGATGTTTAGTGTAGTTATTGCCATTTTTCCCATTCATAACCCTGGAAAATGAACATCTGCCCAATAAATAAACGTTCCATGTATATAACACCAAACCAAAACAATTTACCTTTTCAGGTTTGTGGGGCCTTGTGAACAACGCAGGGGTATGTGTGAGCTTTGGTGATGCAGAGCTCTCGCTAATGACCACCTACAGGGGCTGCATGGAGGTGAACTTCTTTGGAACACTGAACGTCACCAAAACATTTCTCCCACTTTTAAGAAGAGCCAGGGGTAGGATTGTCACAATTTCCAGTCCATCAGGTACCCACAAAGGCAGCACATGGAATAAGAGTAACTGGTGTCTGACCGTCCATATTGCACCCGTTTCATTAAAATTAAATCTTGGTGCTCAGCATTGACTTTTTTATTGCCATTTTTGTGTTTGAAGCCACAGAAAACCAGTGGGATATAATGTGTGAGCATTGGTACTAGATAGTAGCAGGCTTTTTTTATAATGCAAGGGCGGATTTTCAGTACCTCTGTAAACACAATCACAGTGAATACCCCTCTTTTAGATGCAGCTCTGTTAAGAAAGTATGAATCATTGATCATCAATGAATCATTGGTAATATTTTACTTGTTGGGGGCACAAATAACCTAGCAGTTCATTCTTACTTACTGTATTAATTAACCAGAAACTGTTAGTTACATACTGATCCCATGTTTGTTGATCATAACGATTCTTCTATTTCATGCAGTAACTATATTTGTTCACAATTTGTACTTGAGAAGTAATAAAGTTACTAAGTTATTAGTGACCCCTCAAGTAAAATATTACAGAATCATCATTATTCATGCTCAAACATCTTATCTTTAGTACAATTTCCTCACATTACAGTAAAATCCCATTATAACGGACTTCAAGGGACCTGGCAAAACAGTCCGTTATATCCAGAGTTGCTGTAAGCCCAGAACACAACTACACGACAACATTTACTCATGCCACACCCCAGCAGACACACTTGTGCTATAGATTTTTATATTGTACATGTAGTAATCCAACTTCACCTGACCAGATGCGTGACTATTAATAATCCCGACTACGTATCTGCGCTGGATATCACCGGCACGCCACGCGCCTTGTAGGCGGAGCCTGCATGTCCGTTATAGCCGAACAAAACTACAGCTAAAAGCGGCCCTGGGGACCAAATTGTTTTTCCTTTATAAGCAAAATTCCGTTATATGCAAGTCCGCTATATCTGATGCTTATTGTTCTTAAAGGCCCACAGCCGGGACCAGCGGACCTCGTCAGTTGTAGACGATATTCCGTTATTAGCGAGTCCACTATAACAGGATTTTATATGTAATATTATATGTTTAAGAGGCCCAGGTTACAAATGCAGTGTCAGGATGGTAATCATTCATGTCTCTCCCATCATGCTATCCCACGTTCTTCAGGAGAGCAGCCTTTTCCTTCCCTGGCAGCTTATGGCGCCTCAAAAGCAGCCCTCAACCTCGTCATCAACACCCTGAGGCATGAGCTGCAGCCGTGGGGAGTCGAAGTGTCTCTCATCCTCCCCTCAGCCTTCAGGACGGGTGAGGGAGCTCATGCCACCTGCAGTGCCCCATTGCCGTATCACATGGCCAGTCCATTGTACAACTTCATATAAACTTATTTTGGTCATAAGATGATGTATATAGTACATCTTCAACATGTTATGTATCTATGTGTTCCAGATGTATTTTAAACATGACTGATATTTCATAGCATTTATAGCAATAATTAATATAAGTAATTATGTGAGTATCAAAGGGGCTTAATGTGCTTAAACACAAGCAGCCAATATAAGCTGGACATGTATTTATATGTATTATATGTATTCATAACCTGAAATATAATATGTTGGCAAGATGATGGCATGCCTGGTTAGTTATCTTCATTTCTTATAAGCTTTCCTTAACTGACAAAGTGCTGTCAGTTAAGTCAGTTATTGTTCTAGGAATAAAAAAAATTACATTTTCTTTTCTTAATAGCAGAATTGATCTTGAATGTATGCGGGATGTATTTTCAGGTCAGTGCAGTAATTCTGAGTACTGGGAACAGCAGCACAAGCACTTGATAGAGAGTCTGACACCAGGACTGCTGGAGGAATATGGGGAGGAGTATTTGCTGGAGACCAAGGAGCTTTTCCAGCTTCATGCCAGTAGAGCAAGTGAGGACCTGAGTCCTGTGATCAGCACCATCGCTGATGCACTCACATCACCGCAGCCGAAAGTGCGCTACTACGCTGGGCCGGGAGTGCAGCTGATGTACTTTATCCACACGTACCTCCCCACGTTCTTCAGTGATAAGTTCTTACAAAGACTCTTTGTGAAGAAGAAGGTCGTGCCACAAGCTTTGAGGAAAACAATGTGAATTACATTTGCAAATGTAATTCTAAAAAGACAATACTGGGTGGCTTTTTAGACACAAAACACTTTAATGACTGAGAGCAAAAAGGTTAATTCACACCCTGAAGATGTAGGCCACATATAAGACATTCCTGTGTAATATATTTTAATACACATCGTTAGTCTAATTTTGTAGTATTTTTCTAACAAGGGAATTCATGCTGTGTTTCTTAAGTTTACTAAAAATTATGAATGAAAATAAAGAGTTAATAGTACCTGTCTGTTTATTATCACAAGAGGTTTTAAAAGTATTCTGATTTCGGAGATAATTAAAGAACAGAGACTGGGGGGGTTTGTGTGTCCCAGTGATCCTAGGAGTTATGTTGTTGGGAGCAGTTGCTCACGGTTGTCTCCCAAGGCTAATTGGTTTTAGGTAAGGGGAGAAACTAAGGGTGGGTCAAACAACTTTTATGAAGAACAAAAAACAGCAAAGCAGAAAACTCACCCGGAACAGGGATACTGGGGCCCTGCCCTGATCCCAGGCCTGGGGTGGGCTGCTCGTCAGTGAACGCCAGGTAGTCAGGCCTTCAACCATGGGTGAAGGCTGAAGAAGGAGGCCTTCTGAGTTTGGTTATCTTATGGGAATCCTGAAGTAGCCATCAGGTATCAGCGGGCCAAACAGAGTGTGGCTTTGGTGTAGCCAAAACCAACTCACTTCACAGAATGTTTAGGCTAAGCCTGAGAGATAGGGTAGGATGTTTGGGCTCAAATTAGAGCCACTGTTCCTCTACATTGAAAGGATTCAGTTGAGGTGGTTTGGGGACACCTACCTGGGGAGAGGGTGAGAGAGAAAGAGGTAAGGAGCATGCACTGATTACAGCACGTTGCTGCACCCACCACACAACAAACCTCCTCAGGGATGAGTGCAGTCAAGCAGCGGGCGATACCTCAGGAACACACTAGTCCAAACCGACCAGTGTGAGTTTCTTCCAGTGGATGGAGTGCGAATCCTGTCACCAACCCCAAATTGGCAGACCTGCTTGTAGGGCTGGATGTAGATTAATGTCACACCCAGCACATACCAATTGCTTTTCAAAAATTATCTCTGTCATAAAGGGTGCTAGATATACATTTTTTTTTCCCAGCATCCAGCTGATGGTTCTTTTATGTGGTAAGGTATTGCTTAAGGGCTTTGCTGAAGGACCCAGTGGAGTAGAATCTCTCTCGGCATTCATGGGATCCAAACCAGCAACAAACCAGCAACCAGCACAGACCCCTAACCTCAGAGCCACCACTCTGCTCTGGGGAGGAGCTCTGTAAATGTCCAAGTGGGAGGACACCCCAAGGCAGACTCAGGACATGCTGGAGAGATTATATCTCTTGGCTGGCCTGAGAATGCCTGAGTATCCCTCCTGCAGGAGCTGAAGGAGGTGGCTGGTGAGAGGGAGGTCTGGAGATCTCTACTTAGACTGCTGCCCCTGGACCTGGAAAAAAATCATTGCCCCCTAACAACTACCATCGGCACCTTTTCAGCAAGAATGAAAAGCAAACAAATTTTAAACTTTGAACTGTTTTTAGTGTTACATGCTACTTTTTTCTATGAAGCACCTCTTCAGCTCAGTGGCATGAGGCCTTGCCAGAGCTTAATGAGGTTTGAACATGAATGAATGAATCAATTCTACTCATTCAACCATTTTCATGTTGACCAAGCAGTGGGTTCTGGATTGTCTTGCATGATCTAACTGGACATTTTCCAATAGAGTGACCAATTCATTCAGAAATTGAGAATCACAAAATGTTGAAACTGTAGACCAAAGCTTCCCCAAACCATTACATGACCACCATAACACTGCACTGAAACAGGATTTTAGCATGAAATATAAATGTTGGATTCTAACATTTACCTGAGTGATTTTTTTTGGAGCTGAAAGAGAAACAAGAAAGTCAAAAATGATGGAATATCAGTAATATGCTGATCAAAGTGCAGGGTGCTGGCAGTAACACTTAATGATCAGGGTGGGGGGCGGTAACACTTAATGATCAGGGTGGGGGGCGGTAACACTTAATGATCAGGGTG